TTCTGCCACCCGGTCTGGGGGACAAAGTTTGGGAATAAAGGGAGGGTTTCCCCGCCTAATCCCGGAAAGGAAGGAGAGCTGCGAAGGGGAAATGCGACCGCCTGCTCCGTGGAGTCCCGTCCCCTGCCTGCCGCACCTCCAGCTCCGCTCCTTCTTGTGATGCCTGCGGGGGACTGGACGGGGGCTTTCGGCAGGGCTGCTGGCTGCGCCGCGGGGCTGTAGCCGTAAGAAATGAATCTCCACGGTCTCTCTGCAGACTAGCCTTGGTTCAAACCAGAGAAGTCCCACTCTTCAGGTCCTGAAGGATGCGAATCACTTCGTGCTCCGTGTTGCGGTACCCACCTGGGCACGGCTATCTCCCGGAGAAACAGCCTGAGGAACCGACCTGTCGTACGTCATGTTACTTTACACCAAGTTTGCAAGACTGTTCTGCAGCCACCCTTCCTGCAAGGAGTGTCAAAATAGCATCTTCCGTTTCTGTTATGAGCTGATACCAAGTGCTCATATAAAAATGATGACTTGAAAGAGGGAGGGCACTGTAGAATAAGCAGTCATACAGTGACATTTAATGTAATGGTTGTTGGTAGGGGGTACCTAGTCGGGGCTTCTTGCTGTAGTGCACAAGTGACAAATCTGACCAGGTTCTCTCTTCTTGCAGGGTAGAGTGAGCCCTGCGGAGACGTGCTAGAGGGACCACCCCCCATTTTGCGTCTCGCTGAGTGGACTATGGTGGCAGGAAGATGTTGGCTCGGAAGAGTATCATCCCTGAAGAGTATGTATTGGCACGGATCGCTGCCGAGAACCTGCGCAAGCCGCGCATCCGAGACCGGCCACGCAAAGCCCGCTTCATCGCCAAGAACGGGGCATGCAACCTGGCACACAAGAACATCCGTGAGCAGGGGCGATTCCTGCAAGACATTTTCACCACCTTGGTGGACCTGAAGTGGCGTCACACGCTGGTCATCTTTACTATGTCCTTCCTGTGCAGCTGGCTGCTCTTCGCCATGATGTGGTGGCTGGTGGCTTTTGCCCACGGTGACATGGACCCAAGCACAGAAAGCACTACGAACAGCACGAAGTGGACACCGTGCGTGACGTGTGTCAGGTAAAGTACGGTCGGTGGGATGAGTGCAGCTTCTGGTTTACATGAACCGTTGTGTTTGGTTGAGACAATTGAAAAGTGCAGTGTTTTCCTCTAGATTACGTAAATTCAGCAAGCCTCCTGGGCTTGGAAAATACTGTACTGTAGATTTCTTTGATTCCTTACAGGATCTGAAAGAGAGGGAGACCTGCTGCTTTTCATGTGTCTCCACACTCTGTGGGTAACATACCTTGCCTGTCGAGATAAGAGCCTGCTACAAGAGTGGGTATGTGTTATATGTATTGTAACGTTGTCTACAGCAGCGGGAGCATCCCCAGCGTGGTGCGAGCCGTGAGCCGCGCCGTCAAAAGGTGGCCACCCCAAAAGCGGTGCCTGAGAGGCAGGGCACTGGCCATGGGTGTCAGGCAGGGCTAGCAGGAAAAGTGCCACTTAGGGCAAAACTAGATGTCTTTCAAGATGACTCTGATTAGACAGCTAAATATGGGGTGCTCCAAAATACCTTGATGAAGCCATAGGCCAGCAGTTTGACAGAGGAAGTTTCCATGGCGTACATGATGTGTCAGACAGTGAAAGCTTAAGGGACTACTAGGTTAAATGTCCCCATTAAAGTAGTTCACTCGCCATCCCCAAAGCCACGACAATTTTCAAGGCACCGATAAACTTACATATACATACACGGAATAGAAGAGTGTTTGTTAATTGTAGGTGGGGATAAGCAATAAGATTGCTTCGTCATCTCATCAGTAAAATCTCTTTTTATAGCACTAGGTTTTTAAGCAGAAGAATCCTGATTCGGTACAACCAGACTGCCCCAGATCAGTTGCCGTTACACATTGCAGTGCTGTGAGGGACTGGGGGGGTGGCTGCAGGGTCCGCTGAGACATCAGAGTATCCGCTTCCCTGTTCTCCTTTCTCCTGCACATAGGTTTGAGGCACCTCACCGGGTTTGAAGGGACATTGTATCTGGCTCATGAAGGAGCGGAGATTTCATTCTCTCTTTGTTTTGACGCTTTTTTGCTAAATGGAGATTTTCCAAGCTAAAGGAAATGGGGATTTTTCCAAGCTAACCTTCATGAGGTTGGGGGGTTGGGGCGGGGCGGGGGGGTTGCTGCCTTATTTCTTTTCCAATAACTGGCCACAAGCCTCTTACATGAGACGTCATGACCCAGCTTGCACCCGCTGGGGCGTAACACCGGCGTTTCTGGGATTTGT